TATTGTGGAGAATTTTCAGAAAGTTGATGCATTACGCCAGTGCCTCATGGGCTAAAACCTTCGCAAAGGCGAATAATTTAAAATGCTAAGGAAGAATCGACCTGATTCTCTGTAAAATGCAAGATAAGCTCTCAATTTCAAGATTTAGTAGGTCAGACTGCCCCTTAAATTGGGTGGTTTTATTTTCATAAAAAATGATCAACCTCACTAGGAGGAACCCTCGCTGTTTTTCCTGATAAAAGCCTGTCTACACTAAGTGATTGAAGTAATAGTCCACACACATTTGACACAAACGACACAGTGCTTACAGTAATATCCTTAATGTTCTTTTTTTTTTTTTTTTTTTTAAACAAATAACACACATCTTGACAAATATTGCCAATAAAGCACTGAACGCCTTGGCCAATTTGCCTGAAATTGAAAATACAGGCCTAGAGAATAAATAAAGTTGCGCTTATAGGCTATTCAAAAAGTGCCATTTTTTTTACACAGTATACAGTATGGACGTACAGTATATATGCCTATGTATTGTCCATAATTATTGAATCAGAATTCAATGCTGGATATTTTGTTCCAGCTCATTTGTTAACGAAATAAGAATTAGAAATAATACAAAAAATAAAAATAAACGGAGAAAATGAAGGTGTGCATATTTTACAAAATGATTAAACATGTGAGAAGTGAGAGGTCATCCGCTCTGCAGGACTTAGTACCAAACAGCAACAGTTTTTTTTTTCTTTTGCCACATTGAAAGTATAAAAAGTTTGTTTCATTATATATTATTATTATTATTTATTATTGTGTGGCTTTAGTCGTCTGGTCTCCAAAAACTCATGAAAGTAGTCCGTTCTACATGGAGGCAGGGAGCTCTCTCCTTGGTTTCAAAAAAAAAAAAAAAAAAAAGTCTCTCAGTGGTGTTTTTTTTTTTTTATTATCAATCTCAGTTCCCTTGCTGCTGCCTGGATGTCTCCAGTCCGGGTTGACTCACACACACACGCCGTCCATGCGGTCTGCAGCTCGTCCCTGCAGGGATCACATCACGCACGGCTTGATGTCCTGGTAGGAGACCTGCTGGTGGTGGTAGTAGGAGCTGTTTCCCGGTGAGTGCATGGCGGAGGAGGTCATTGCGTTAAAGGAGAACACGAACTCCTTTCTGTCGCACATGCTGGGAGACTGGGAATGGTACCGAGGAATACCTGAGTGGAGAGGATGAGGAATATTACTATAATAACAGAATTGTTAAAGATGGCATTCATTTCTAAACATTTTTAAAACTGAAATGCATATCAATATTATTAATATTATTTAATTTCAGGCTTTATGTCTAAAGCCTACAATTTAATACAAAGACATCATTTCAAATAAAAAAAAATGCTTTCAAAAATAAATTCTGTACATTATACAAAAAATAATGATACTTAGAAATATGTTTTCTTTTTTAATATTATGTTTTTTAGGTTTTTTGTTTTTTGCCTACAGTAGGCTTAAACAGAGGCGGGCTCAGGGCTAATTGACATCGGCCTTCTTGCACGCCAGTCCCGCAGGGAGCTTGGCTGGACCTTACTGCGCCTGTTTCTTTATAGCGCAGCAATTTGCACGCATCTCTACCTCCCCCATGCCCTTTTTTTCCTCTTGATCACTCAAATGAAAGTAAATATCTGGGTGTCATTTAAGCTGTATTTAATCAGGAACTCGTGTGTAGGTGTATGTTAATTTCAGAAGGATGAAATGGGTGGTCATTTATCCTGATGGCCTTAATTTAACCTCCTCTATAATAACTGAACGCACCGTGCATATTTGGCACCGAAGTAACGTTTTGGTATATTTTATTTTAATCTGACTGCATTTTTCAGTGTGATCTCTACCATCATCGCAGAATATGGTGCAGTTTTCTATCATCGGAAATATGACTTTAAATGCAGCCTACCTTGTAAATCTGTGGTGCTGTGTCCGTTCTGGTGCAGGTAGGATTGGTCCAGTGAGTGTGTGGGCAAGCTCGGCTGCAGACTGTTTGCCCCTGGGTTGCACGGAGACAGAGGCTGCTGCTTGATATAAGAAGCCCCGTTATTGAGCGAAGCCGGAGGGGCAGAGGCCCACGCCGAAGCCGAGCTCGAGTAGACGGGGTGAGGCTCCATAACCCCCCCGCTGGTGAGCAGAGGGGACGCGGAGTTGTCGTGGTGCGGGTATTCGCTCCCGGTGGACGCGGTGCAACTTCCCATATAGGAATGTCCACTGTTGCTCGACAAGTGCGACATGGAGTGGCCGGAGAGACCCATCCCATCCATGTTACCCGCCAAGTGTCCATTCATCATCCCGATCCCGCTGTCCAGAGACAGGCTGTTGGGCGGACAGGACAGGCCTCCGCCGCTCCCCTGGTAGTTGTATGCCTCGGGGATGTGGTTGAATCCCAGGCCGTTCATCATGCCGTACATGGGCTTCAGCGCCTGGCATTTGCGCCTGAAACCCCTGGGTCTTCTTCTGAAGGAGCCCTCCTCGAACATGAATTCGCTGGCCGGGTCGATAGTCCAATAGTGGCCCTTCCCAGGCCGACCGAGGCCCTTAGGAAGCTTAATGAAGCACTCGTTTAGAGATAAGTTATGACGCACGGAGTTCTTCCATCCCTGGTAGGAGCCTCTGAAGAACGGGAAGCGGCTCTGGAGGAACTGGTAAATTTCACTGAGCGTGAGCCGCTTGGTTGGAGAGCTCTGAATGGCCATGACTATCAGAGCTATGTATGAGTATGGGGGCTTCTCCGGTCTCCGGATCCCTGCGTTCGTCTTCTTAGTTTTGGTGGTGGATGAGCCGGTTTCCATCACCACCGTCTGTCCGTGAGGTTTCTCCTGCGCGGACATCGGGCTGCTCTGGGCAGGAGGCTGCGCTGGGGGCTGCTGAACCTCTGCCGTCATTAGTTTGTCTGGATTCAGTCGATATTATAAAGAAAGGAGAAAAAAAATCCACCTATGATTACAAAAACAACTGAGAGCACTTCCCTGGCATAAAGAGAAGAGAGGAAAAAAGGAGGCGGAAAACCAGAAGGAGGCGATTTTCTGTTAGAATCTGCCTTGTTGGTTTTGCTTGTGTCCCGTTTGGTGTCTGAGGCCGAAGCGCTTTGAAAAAGGCGACGTCCTAAAAGGAGGCACTGAGCAGAACAGGAGCAGCTTTCCACTTCAGTTGCTGTGTTGTCGTGCGTCCGCGGAGCTCACTTTTTACTTATCTGTTGCCATCGGCGAATTGGAGGCTGTAGGGCTTGTCATCCTAATGTCGGGGGCCCGCCCAGTCCCCTCCTACTCCAGTGGTGGGCTGCAAGCATGCACATCTGGGTGCATTCACTCGCTTTTTCTCTGAGATGCTTTAATATCTCACACATGAATTTTTGTCCATCTAGAAAAAGAAAAAAGTAATTTATCACACTTATAATAAACTAAAAACAACAAAAAACATACTTTTGTCTTCAGCTGCAGATTTATATTTTGCCTTTTCCCCCCTCAGTCGATGTTTTTTGTTTTGTTTTTTATTTTTATAAAAAAAAAACAAGCTTTTTATTTCTAAAAATGTGTCTTACTTTTCATTTTTAAGCTGTTTTTTAGTGCGCCTCCTTGATGCGGCTGCAAGAAGGACATGTCTCATATTTATAATTTAAAAAATAGCCTATAACAATAATATATATATAAAAAAAAAAAAAACATCTACTGGACAACATGCTCACATTGAAAACCAGCCTCCCGATTTTTGTAAAAGATAACCAGGAACTAGAGCAGGATGTTTATACAGCTAAATGTAAACATTTTCCCTGGCATTCTTTAAATAAAAAAATCAAGCCAAAGCCTTTTTAGATCATGTAAAACTCACAACCGGTGGAAAAGGGCCACTAAATGCGCATCGTCCCCCGACAGGCTACACGTTGGACTTTTCCCCCCTCTCTTCTTTTACAAATGTATATTGTTTGTGCAATGCAGTCATAATATTTACGCAGGGACGCGGGAGGAGTGAGGTGGAGACACAGCCGAGTTGGGAGAGCACAGACTCGGACGGAGGACTTGAGATCGACTCCAACAGGGAGAGAACCACGGAATGATCCAGGATCCAAGGTAAGGACCTAACAGCCTCATGAATATCACTTTATAGAGGTGTCACTGCAGGGGGAGCTTGGTTCTGCTTATGGGACAATAAAAAACAATTCAACACAGTGAATTTAAAATACATGAAGCTCTATGAACTTTGACTGGATTTGAATTCAATCAATTTCGTTTTTTTTTTTAGGGTTATTTAATAATATTTTATAAAGAACTCTGGCATTGATGCGTTTTTCCTGCTGGGAGCGAGATCAGTCCATATAGCCTATAACTGTTGACATTGAGTTGCTTATTGTTCCCAGGGGATCTCGGTTGGCTTGCAGCCTTCAGTTTCTTCAAAATCCGCGAGTTCAGTCAAACCTTTCCATTAAAATATTTTCGATTTCTCATTTTTGATAAAAATACACATTTAGTATAAAGTGCGAATAAAAAAAAGCACAACACAGGAGAACCTTTGCTTTGCTCCTCTCCTTGTGCGTAAAGCGTCGTTCTCTGCACATCTACATTATGTTTAATTGATTTCTGACTTGATCAGGATGTGTATGACTGGCATGTTTTCGCCCTAACAAAGTAACAAACATTTTCTGTTGTACAAAAATTTCAAGTCACAGATAAATGCATCACTAATGTCACTGATTCTGCTCTCTACTCGGCCGCTCACTTGCACAGAAAGCCGCATATTTATAAGTGAAGCAGACCACCCAGCGCGCACCAGAGCCAGTCAGGCGCGCGCCCGTGCTCCCCTCTGCCCACTGCATTTAATTACCGCTGATGACTTCATTCCATTAAGGCTTTTCCCCTCTCTCACGCTCAGTCGCCTCATGTCATATTACTCCAAAAGGAGAATGCACATTTGTTTTTCGCTCATGCATCCAAGGCCAGTTTCCAGAGGCGGCCCAAGATTTTTTTTTTTATAAAACCCTAATTTAGGATTTAAGTTGAGGCTCTTGTATTGTGCTTGTTCATATCTGCAGCTTACACCCTACAGCTTTTTTTTTTTTTTTTTTTTGACTAAATCATGAATGAATTAAGTTGACTCAAACCATTTTTTATTGATACACAAATAAGCAACATTGCAAATCTTTTCTGTAAAAAGTTACACTTAGGATTAAGTACTAATTTTAACAAGTTTACGTTCAGGTTCATTCATTTTCATAATATTCCATGCATATTACAACCATTTACTTTTACATTGTTTTTTAATTAAAATAGTGACATCAAGCAATACTTTGGTGTGGTGTTTAAATGCTTGATGCTTTTTGAAGCTGCAAATCTTGCAGCTTCCAAAGAAGCAAAGGTAAACACAGATGAAGAGCTATTTATTTGAGAGGAGATACATTATATTGTTTTTTTTTTATAGAGAGAGCAATAAAAATTATTTATCTATGCCAATTACATATGTTTGGAGTGTTAAGCATAATGTATGTTAAAGGAATCAACATTTTAAAGATAGCTGTATTTACCACATTTCCGCACAAAAAACAACATCAATATCACAGAATCCAATCACACATCTATCTGATCAGAAGTCTCATTAGAAAAGGCTGTCAGAGTGCAATGTTAGTTCTAATATATGTTCACTCTATTATATCCCAACATATAAATGGAAAATCCATAGTGCAAACATATCTTTAGGCAAAATATTGTGCTAGAAATTATTCACATTCTAAAATATCATTAAAAGGGCTCAAGCTTTAAGTTTAAGTTTCAGCCAATCCAGCTGATTTGTAAAAAACTAGCTCTGTACTAAAAAGTTTCATTTGAAAAACAAAACAAAACAAAAAACAACCAGCTTGATAAATGCATTTTTTTTCTTTGCAATAAAACAGAAATTAAAATAGCTCAATTAATTTATAGATGTTTCCTCTGGACTCCAGCTGCAGAGCCTGCTTGTACATCAGGCTGGCTCTGTGAGATTCACTGACATGAAAGTGTGAATCAGTGTTGATAGGAATTTGTTGCTCTCAGATACCCTCCCTTTACCTTGCTCTAGTGATATGGTCAGTTATGAAGATTAGTTTTAGCCACTATGATCAATAAGGAAAACTCAGCCATGAGATAGTGGGTGAACAGAACAATGTCATCACTTCATGCAAAGGCTTGAGAGCCAAGGTCAGAGCTTCCTTGTTGCTCTGTCACAGACGATGTCCTGCTGTTTTCCATGACGTCCCAACATGAAATATTTGACAGCGCTGCACCCTCTGGAATGCACATTCACTTTATTTCAGGTACACCAGCGAGCGAGCATCTCAGGGCCCTAAATTATTAAACATAGTCTACACTTTACCTAAAAAAAAAAAAACACATTATATTAACTTATGATTTAGGACAATTTTCTATTATTGAAATGTAATCTTTTTCCATTCTTTATAGTTAGTACCTTTTTCCCTTTTTCCCACAAACAGTCCAGAACATTTATGCACATAAAAGATCTGCAGCAATATTGAGGGCTGCTGGGTGGTATGGAGGGGTTCAGGTGGACAATGACATCCAACTTTGTTGTCTCCTGCCCCACTGTACACTTCAAGCATCATACTGTATTTAAAAAAACAATTATTCTGAAAGAAGAAAGGAAAAAGATAAAAACTTTAAGAATTTTCTACATCTATATATTTTGAATGTATTGTATTTTTTAATCATGTTAACAAAATTTCGTATATATATTAAATTTTGTATAATTTCGTGTATAAATAAGAAATGTAGCTTTCATGATTAAAAAATACAATGAATCCCCTAATGTAGCAAAGTCGTAAAGTTTTTATCTTTTTCCTGTGTCTAGATATAGATA